TTCACTGTAAAATGATAAATTACAGCTAAGAGACTTAATATAAAACTTCAGAGACAAATGCTTAGCGTATTAAAGCCTTCATTAGTCCAATATACACTCTATATGGATATATCCACATAAATTTTAGTACGCTAAACGCATTTTACTATAAGATGCTTATGAAAAAGTTACACAGCCACGAGTTCTTACAGTGATCAGTTGGCTTAGTTGATAAGCAGAAAGTCTGTTTTTCGTGCACACAGACAGATCTAGCTTTATCATGTTTTCAAACTCTGCAATTAAACAGAATTACCAGATTTAAAACGGCTACCGATCTTTTTTCTTCTTTTATAAAATCAGAGATTGCTGAACTACAAAGAAAAAGATTTGATTATACAAAAAATTTTTTTTTCAGTTTGCAATTTGTCACAGATATTTTTCGCATTTATAAAGATTTCAACAAGTTTACTTCCACATTATACCTTCAAAAAAAATCTGATTTTACGGTCAGTTTTTCTGTTGAGATAAGGGTGTCTTAGGCCGCTAGAACTAGTTTTTGAAACAACAGCAATTAGTTCATTGTCCTTACAAAATTGGAGACTGCATATATGTTTCTGCATGATAAATGTTCATGAAAAAAATCACTTAGTTCAAATTTTTGCTGCACAAGGCTCTTGTTTATCAATCTATCTAAGTGTTATTCCTTATTTCATATCCTGTATTTGTACAGTTTAAAGTGCCGATTGAAACTATTTGCACGTCACCAGTTAGCTTTTTTTATGCAAGTAACAAATTCTTCCATGATCTCTTTTTAAGACAACAACTGTCAGTTCCCCTAGTTAATTGTGAAATACAATTTCCCTTTTACTGTTATTGAACCGGTTTTGAGTTCTGAGTATTGCGATTTGTTATAGAGCGTTATATTTGTTTTCTAAACAACTTTGACTTTTAAAAAAATGGTAAAAATAAAAATGTTTTAACATTTTTGTTTTGTGTACTCGTACAGCATTATTTATCAGAATTCATACCTCACTTATCTTCAGCAATTGAAAAAGATCACGTCAAGAGAAGTATTGCAGTGCAGGAACAAAAAGAAGCCTACTGTATGCTTCCAGTCTGAAATGTGTAGAAAAGAGTAGCATACTGGGTATTGTTAAGGTCAGATAAAGGAAGAGATTACGATCAGGAGACATGACGCACAGTGGTCGACAGACAAAGATTTTGGACAGCAAAATTTGGGGCTTGACAACGATGCATGTGAATTCATATCTTTCATAATCATCAAGAATGAGGCCAAAATGCCATGAATTTCTCGTTGAAATCTCTGAAGGAATCGAATCAGTCAGCAGCGTTGCATATTTTTTCAAAGCTTTGCAGTACGACTTGCTGCTAAATTTGTCTGATAAGGTTTTCAATAATTGAATTAGGTTTGAAATCGGCATTAGAAGAGAGTAAAATTACTACCACCTTTTTACAATTTTGCATAGTTCGAAAACATTAGCTTACACAGCATGTTGATTACTGTTCGTAACAGGCACTTTGACGTCTCTCATCATTTCAGAGGCTTATGTAATTGCTTAAGTCAAGTTTCTTTAACTATAATTTAAATTTCAAAAGCTGCTCTTGCCATTAAATGCACCGTATTTGATTAATTTATCATATTTTAAATTCCGCTTTGCATGGTAGATCTGACTGTCAGAGAGATTCAGTGAAAGCATCGGTGTTTACTGAAAATTATTATTTCCCAAAAGTCTGACTTTATTGTTGTACTTAGCTGCTTAGAGAAAACTAAATGCAGAAGTTCGGTACTTCTGCATTTTCAAAAGCTCTAATACGTTATCACTTGCAGCTATAATTATTTCCTTGAAAACTTCCAACGTTGTCAGCCATCTAGATTTGATGGATATGAATATTTTTGATGGATATGGATATTTTATACAAATGAAGAACTATATTTTATAAAAATATGTACAACGATAAAATAATATTTGCGAGTTGGGATTTTTGGAATATGTGAAATTGTCATAATATACTTTTGACAGCAAATTTTTAAGCATAATTTATTAGAGAAAACTAAAGAAAAAAAAAGAAAAAAATATTATATAGAGTTTCTAGGAGAAATCTCAGAATTCTGTAACTGTTTTGTGCGATATTTAAAACCCGGTAAGGAAATGCAACTAATGCATTTTCAGCTATAAATTTTTCTGCTTCTAAGAGTAGTGCAATTCTGCATAGTTTTGAAGCTGGAAACTTGCTTGCTATATAGCAGCAAGAATATAATTCAAAAATAAACAACTGGTCAAGGCTGCATAATTGTGACTTGTATGCGATTTGTAGGAGAGTAATTTGGAGTTTAGCATCTCAAAAGAAGTGTGGTAACCCTGTTCGTTGTCATAACATTTTACATTAAATAAACACAAATCTCCTGAATCAGCAACTCAAAATTCATTGCTGACTTTATCCAGAATGGTTACTCATTGGAATATTTTGAAGTTTTTCAGTCTTTGTATAATATTAATTTTATTTCCAGATCTAATAAAATTCAAGCTAGTTTGGTGTAGGTATCATATGTGCCTAAAAAAAACTGCAGTTTAGACAAGAAGAGGAAGTCGATTCT